GGCGCAGTGGTAAGAGTGTCTGCTCTAGAGTCGTGGATTATGGAGTTGATCCTTACGTCGCAGGTTCGAATCCCACTGTGGGACGCAGAGACTGATCCTTCGGATGAGACCGTACAAACTGAGGTCCCGTCTGGTAGTAGGTGCTGACACGAAAAAGATCCCTCACTGCTAAATGGCCATGTGTGCCGAGTATAGGTCAAAATTTGCAGATCTCCATCGGCAAATGGTGGCGTCTCCATATGATTGAAAAATTCTCGAAAGGGACGTTAAACAACATACAAACAAATAAACAAAACGGTATATACTTTTGTAATAGAAAAAATTGCATGCATTTGCATTTCACTGAAAAGATGATAAATATATCATCAAGAGTGTGTAATGGCCTAGACTTAAATTCGAGGTCACTTAGAATATGATGTTTTGGATAAATAGTCTGAAAGAATACGTGACTGTGATTTTTTTTATGTCGGTGACATAAAGATGGTGTTTGCTCTTAACCAGCTGCAGAATGTGTCATGGCTTGACGCAAAGTTATTTGGACAAGTTCAAGTTCACTGACAGTGGAATTTTACATTCCTTTACTGTCTTTCTACTGTTGAAACATTGAAAGTTGATGCCCCTTACAGGATTGTTTATAACCTTAAAATGTTGCATAACCTTGACTCAAGGTCGCTCTGTCCTGTCCGGAGCTCCGACGGAAGACCTATTCGTTGCATTGCAACGAGCTCGGCTCTAGTTGCTGTATATATTTTGCGTGGATCTCGAAAAAGAATGTCAAGGACACAAAATGTAAATATATTCTAAGACTTTGTGCATATGTCCAGGCGTATTGACAGATTTCTGAAATATCGGGATATATAATAAAAATTAATCAATGAAATCTTTTCATATGTAATATTAATTTTAATGTGTAATAAAATTTCGTGTTATTACATTTTGCGTTAATCCTGACGCAAAATGTAATAACACGAAGTTTTTAATGTTACTAATTTTTATATGTTGAACAATTAAGACAGTTCTTTTTACATACATGTCACAGGCACTTGTTTCGGTAATATTTTTTTTTAACCCATAGTATGATATTATACTATGGGTAAGAAACATGTTACCGAAACAAGTGCCTGTGATACATGTATATAAAAGTAACTTAATTTGGTAAAATGATTCGATTTTTACTGATTCATTTTTGTATACTAGATGCCTGCAATCTCAAAAAAAAAATAAAAAAAAAAAAAAAAAAAATCTACAGTTGCCAACTGTTTGTGTTTTTGTATTTTAATTTGATTGCAATTATGTATTTGTATATTTTTGTATTTGTCAGGTAAATACAGGAACACAATTAATAAAATGTGTTATATATTTTCTGAACTGTCAACTTAAACTTTTATAAGGCCCGGATGGCAGTTTCTGCGCGGCAAATTAGCTATAGTTAAGCGAAACACCGTCACTATACGTTAATTTCACAAGTGCGTAATTCGACTCAAAATGAAAGTAGCAAAGGAAATTTTGCTGTCTATAAATAGAAAATACTTTTAAGATTTACCAATGTCTTTTTTCTGGTAGACATTGCTTACTTTGACTTCTGCCTCATTTCATCCATTATACAGCATATATGTGAGTAGAAATTTACATCTCATGCATGCATTTTTAAAGTCTACTTTTCAACTCACTAGTTGTGATAATATATAAATAGCATTGATTATGTTAGATACTAACCGGAATTCCGGTTTTAAGTTTCATATCTGATCTTTATGGAACGCCAAATTAACATATATTCAAATATTTGTACCTATCTTCAAATAATTGTACCTATCTTCAAATGAATTGTACCTATCTTTAAATCAATTGTACCTATCTTCGAATGAATTAGAGATAGGTATAATTCAATTATACCTATCTTTAATTCATTTGAAGATAGGTACAATTGATTTGAAGATAGGTACAAATGCAATGAATTGAAGATAGGTATAATTGATTTAAAGATAGGTACAATTGAATTGAACCTATCTTTAATTACTAAGATATTGGCAATAATAACTATTCCCTTCATTATACGTCATTTCCGTTACGTCTACCGATCTCCGACACTTTCGGGGTACTCGGGTATATATATATATTTTTGCTCACTTATTGACATACATGTGTATTTTAATAAGTATATAATGCTTTTTGCACATTTTAACATACCTTTATTTCTCCTTTCATCCTCGTTGTCGTCGCTCTGTATGCTCTGTGCGTTTCCCGCCATGTTCAATATTGTCTCCAAGGGAGCGTTCATTATTTTCAATAACACAAAACGAATTGAACCTAGGTATAATTGAATTGTACCCATCTTCAAATCCTTTATGGATATGTTCTAATTGTCCCTATCTTCAAATCAATTGTACCTATCTTCAAATGAATTAGAGATAGGTATAATTCAATTGAACCTATCTTTAATTGAATTGAAGATAGGTGTAATTCCATTAAAGATAGGTATAATTTATTTGTACCTAGGTATAATTATTAGAGATAGGTGCAATTATTTACACCTATCTTCAATTCAATTGTACCTATCTTTAATTCAATTGTACCTATCTTCAATTCATTTGAAGATAGGTACAATTATTTGAAGATAGGTACAATTATTTGAAGATAGGTACAAATATTTGAATATATGTTAATTTGGCGTTCCATAGATCTTAGTACATGTACCATTAATATGTAATGTTAAGTACTGCACAGCACGACTAGAAGTAATACTATAGAGCAAAATGTTTCTTGTAAAGTAATTGTTATAGAGTGGAAGTATTGTATTCTGAGGCGCTGTTTTAGTATATTTAATGTATTTTAATTCTGATACGAAAACGGCGCCTCATATAGATTGCGAAGCTGAAAGAAAGCTTTCTTATATATGCATACTGGTAAGTCTGTGAATTATTCTTTATGAATATAGATACCTGCAATCTCGTATAATTTCTACAGTTGTTCTTTGCATTTTCCTATACTTAAAATTGATGACATTATCTATATATGGTATATTACATATAAAGGAATATAGTTTCTATAAGTCCCATGAATTTTGAATTCATTCCTGAAAAAGACTGTTAATAAAAATTGTTAGTAACACTAAACTTTTGTAAGCTTGGCAGTATAGATGTGTACCTAGGTTTGCAGAGTTACGTGTCTTTATCTCTATATACTAGACGAAATCCCGCGCAAGCGCGGGTAATTGAATTTATACCACTACCGACAGAAAATATATTGTAGTTTCTACTGACAGCCTACAGGCTTATAGCAGGAAGAAATACTTTGTTCAAAATCCCACATGTGCGTCTCCACCCCCCCCCCCAACCCCTTTTGTAAAAACTTGAAAAAGATAACAATTTCATTAATTGATGTTTATTGTGAAACCTGTTATACTATGTTATGGATATTGTACTTCAGATGCTCTTATTTTATTTCCGTCAAGGATAAAAGCAGCGAATATGCATATTTTACTGATAAATTGATTGGTGTTTTTTTTTGGGGGGGGGGGTAAAAATTCACAGGTACTTGGGTCTTGGATTATAAATATGTATGTACCTTATTGATACGTAAAAATGTACTTTACCTTTTTTACATATCAATAAGGTACATATATATTTATATACCAAGACGCAAGTACCTGTGTAAAAATTAGCTTTTAACGCCCTATGAATAGGCCGAGTATTTGATACAAAAGACTGTATTCAGAAAAAAACTGAAATGTATTGATTAAAGCACAAAATTTTACAGCTTTAATTGTATTTGAGCAATATCTTATACATTAATTTTCTCTTTTCATGTAAGCAATTTTATTACGAAGTAGAAATTGTACTTCGGGTTCGTTGCCACGATGCTCTCAGTGGGGAATATATTACACATTTTACCGATAAATTTATTAGGAAAACCTACTACATGTATGTAATAGTCTTTCGATATATAAATATATTCACAACTTATAGTGTTATCAATGATTTACCATTATTTCAATGACCATTCACGCATAAGCTTTTTTTTATGTTAATCGTCTCGTTTTTCTTTTTAACATCGGGCTCGGTGCTATATGATGCTCTAGAAGCTTCCGTCAATATTAAGATCGGTGAATGACAAAAATAATTTGCACATTTCCCTTTTTAATCGGTTATCACAACTTATTTCTTTTATGTCATTTAAATCAAGTTTTGATTGAATAATTTAGTGATGACGTTTTATGAAATAAATAAACGATTGCTTGTTGTCAGTTTCATTGAAAATTGCCAGAAACTTAGATCCGCCAACCGGAAACGCCACCTTACTCATGTTTTTGCTATTTCATGACTGTTTATAGAAAATAAAAGTAGACTTTTAATTTAATGTACGATACTTACAATGCGAGTTAAATCTAAATATAGTTTACGGACATCATATTGTATCTAGTGTATTCTTAGAGGAGTAGGTAAAAACTCTAGTGCATCCGTTTCGGAGTTTATTTGCAAAATGTATTAATTTATAAGTATAGATTCAGATCAAAAAGCGGGCACTCATATCTTACCGGTATACTTCAAATAAATATCAATGAAGTTCCAATACCAGGAATATGTAACTTGTGCAATACGTTTCAAAATGAAAATGGAAAAGGATGTTTTAATAATTTTACTATTTTTCTAGTAACATGACTGCTGTTTTATTTCTTCCATTATAAAGAATAAGTGAGTATAATTATTATATCCGGGACATGTATTTATTTTAAATTTTTTCAATCATAGTTTGATAGAACGTGTATATAAAATTAATAGCTTTGATTATTTTAGACACTAACTGAAATTCCGGTATTTAAATTCCATGTCTACCAACTGTATGGACAGGTATATTTACAGAAATCATGCTACAAAATAATCTTTATGCCAATTTTTATAACTCGACTTGCCGTGATTTCAATTTTGTTTTGAGCTTAATTGTTGATTATTTTCTAATATTTTTTTCTGAATCAGTAATGAATCATATTTTAGTTGTCGTAGAGTAAAATCATCCAACACGTGGAATCTACTATGGATGGAAAATATTTGGAGACTGCGAAGCTGAAAGAGAGTTTTCTTGAGTGCACGGTTTGCAACCTTAATTTTGACGATCAAGATCACGTTCCCCGTCTCTTGAACTGCCTGCATGCGTTCTGTTCTTCATGTCTAGAGAAGATTGTAAAAGACGAAAAAATCACATGCCCTTACTGCCAGAAAGTCCACTCAGCAAAAGGAAATGACGTCACAAATTTTCCCAAAGATCTTACCAGACGAGATTTGATGGATTTCGTCAGAGCTTCTTCTCAAGAGACTCCAATAATCTGCGGTCTGTGTGATGAAAACAAGGTGGCAACACACCGCTGTAAGGAATGCCAAGGATGTTTTATTTGCGAAGAATGCTTCAGAAATCATCAAAAGATGAAAACATTTAAGGATCACAGTCCACTAGCTTTGAAGGATTTGCCTCAAGATACCATTTCTGGACTTGAGCATTTCAGCCATGAAGAAATGTGCCCTGAGGTAGGACATGGCGAGGCATTAAAGATGTATTGCTCAGATCCATGCGGAAAACCGATTTGTACTCTTTGTGCATGCACTACTCACAAAGAACATCAAAATTACTCAATATCTGAGGTTTATAAAGAGGAAAGTGAGTCAATTCAGGACATTTCCAAAGAGGTTGGGAAAAAGATAGAAAGCTCAGAAAAACTTATAGAGGCAGTTGATAGGGAGATAGTTTGCTTGCCTGAAAAGGCCGAAGAGCAAAAAGAAGCTGTTCGGGCTCAATTTGCAAATGCAATAAGTTTGCTGGAAAGAAGAAGAGATGAACTTTGCAAGACTATGGATGAACACGAAGAAAGAAACGTCAAACTCCTAGAAGTACAGAAAGAAGAAATAAAGAAGTACAAAGAATCTTGCATCGAAGCAATCCATTTTCTCCAAACTTCCCTGGCCCACAAAAATAAGCCAGCTTTCCTAAGACTTGCACCAACTATTAGATCACGATTTCAAGAACTGGAGAAAACACCTCTTGATGTAGAACCTCATGCTAAAGCCGGGTGTGTCAATTTTGAGAAGTTCAGTTTGAAGAAATTTTCAGACACAGTTACAGGGTTGGGCCGAGCATTATGCACATACGTATATACTCCTAAATCTTCGATCTGGGTGAGCAGCAAGAAATTTGAGGTTGGAGTGGAAAATGAGTTCAAAATAGAATTGAAATCTGTCAATGAAATACCCATCGACAATGAGGATGTCGTTCTTGTTCTTGAATCCGAAGATGGAAAGGATGTTCACGTATCGTGCAAATACGAGGACAATATGAAAAAGTATGTTGGCAAGTGGTGCCCTGATGAAGCAAGAGAATTTGGCTTAAAAATCTTGTGTAATGGAGTGCCCCATGATTTTCAACTTAAGAAAATAAATGTCGGAAATGCATCTCTACCCTCTGGTAAGTGTTTTATTTCACTCTGCTTGAGTGTGTCTTGCTTAATTGTCATTATCCAGCGGTTATTTGATACTTAAGAAGTCTTAAATTTGAGTGGCTATATTATTTGTTTTTAAAGGAAGGAAAATTAAATCCAGATTATTGATTTTGTACTTTTATACCAGATCCAGAATATTTAATATCAAGAACTACCAGTCCACTTATTTTCCCTCCAAAATCATATAATCCTTCATTAAAACTGTCTAAAAGGAAAAGGGTGCAATAATTTCATAAAGGAAATTCATCGAATGGACATGGTGCCATTTTGTTGTTTTGAAACATGACAATGTCGGATTACACAAGTTTGTTTATGCTAATGTTTATATATAATTATGTATCAATATCATAATCATTTACGTTATATTATGACAGAGACAAAAACTGAAAGTCAAACAGCACCAAAAGAGAAAGAGAGTAAGAAAGCCAAGTAAGTGAAAATTAGAATGAAAATATTTTCAAAATTAAAAAGAAGGACAACAAAAAAGTCATTCACTCTTTACTCATTTTTTTTCTGCTTGTAGTCTTGTTCCTGGATTGTTAAGTCGCAAGAAAAGCAGGTATATATTTGTGATTTTTCCCCCAAAATATGTAGTCTTGCTAAGCTGAAATGCCCAATATTGCTAGAAAAAAGACACCATGATCTTTTACTTCGTGTATTTATTTTTCACATCTCAGAAAAAAATGCAAGGCTGTGGATTTTTGCCGAAATATTTGTAAATTATCAGACTTGAGAAAATCAAACTTATTTTGTATGTTTCTTTGTTGTTTAACGTTTTTTCGCTCATATGGAGACGCCACCACTTGACGTTGGAGGACTGCAAATTTTGACCTACACTAGGCACTCAGGCCCATTGAGCAGTGAGGGATCTTTTTCATGCCAGCACCTACTGCGACACGGGAACTCGGTTTATACGGTCTCACCCGAAGGACCGGTCTCCACGTCCTGCAGTGGGATTCGAACCCGCGACGTAAGGATCATCTCCTTACTCTGCGACTCTAGAGCAGATGATCTAACCCACTGAGCCACGTGGGCGACTCAAACTTACTTTTTAAAAAATCGTGGAATCGGTTAAAGGCTATCCGTAGTTGTATTAATGTGTACTATATATTTGGCTTTAAGTCAAAATTGTGACACATGTACCCTGAGGTCAAGGGTTACAGTACACTAATGCTTGACATTTTCATAGAGAGGACGGAGTTTAAAGTCCTATTTCCCTATTTTCTGGACTTTTTAGCTCACCTGAGCCAAAGGCTCAAGTGAGCTTTTCTGATCAAAATTTGTCCGTTGTCTGTCGTCGTTGTTGTTGTAAACTTTTCACATTTTCATCTTCTCAAGAACCACTGGGCCAATTTCAACCAAACTTGCCACAAAGTATCCTTGGGTAAAGGGGATTCAAGTTTGTTCAAATGAAGGGCCACGCCCTCTTTCAAGGGGAGATAATTAAGAATTAGTGAAAAAATAAATGCATCATTTAAAAATCTTCTTCTCAAGAACCATAGGGCCAGGAAAGATGAAACTCATGTGGAAGCATCTTCAGGTAGTGTACATTCAAGTTTGTTCAAATCATGACCCCCGGGGGTAGGGCGGAGCCACAATGGTGGATCAAAGTTTTACATAGAAATATATAGGAAAAATCTTTAAAAATCTTCTTCTCAAGAACAGCAAAGCCACGATGAGTCATATTTATATGGAAGCATCCTCAGGTAGTGTAGATTCTATTTTGTTCAAATCATGACCCCCGTGGGTAGGATGGGGCCACAATGGAGGATCAAAGTTTTACATAGAAATATATAGGAAAAATCTTTAAAAATTTTCTTCTCAAGAACAGCAAAGTCATGATGAGTCATATTTATATGGAAGCATCTTCAGGTAGTGTAGATTCAAGTTTGTTCAAATCATGACCCCCGAGGGTAGGGCGTGGCCGCAATGGAGGATCAAAGTTTTACATAGAAATATATAGGAAAAATCTTTAAAAATCTTCTTCTCAAGCACAACAAAGCCATGATGAGTCATATTTATATAGAAGCATCCTCAGGTAGTGTAGATTCAAGTTTGTTCAAACCATGACCCCCGGGGGTAGGGCGGGGCCACAATGGAGAATCAAAGTTTTACATAGAAATAATAGGAAAAAATCTTCTGAAGAACTGCAAACCATGATTAGTCATTTTGATATGGAAGCATCCTCAGGTAGTGTAGATAAAAGTTTGTTCAAATGATGACCCCCAGGGGTTGGGTGGGGCCCATTGGGGGATCGAAAGTTTTACATAAGAACATATAGAAAAAATATTTCTTTTCAAGAACAGGAAAGCTATGTTTAGTCATATTGATATGGAAGCATCCTCAGGTAGTGTAGATTCAAGTTCAAATGATGACCCCTGGGATAGGGAGGAACCAGAATGGGGGATCAAATTTTTACAAAGGAATATATGGGAATTTTTTTTTTTAAATCTTCTCAAGTACAACAAAGCCATTTGTTATATTGACATGGAAGCATCATCAGGTAGTTTAAAATTCAAGCCCCCCCCCCCCCCCCGGGTAATCTTTTCAATACTGAACTGATTTGTGCTTTTGCCTAGCCAATGTGCTCAGGTGAGCGATGTGGCCCATGGGCCTCTTGTTATATATCATGACAACATGATTACATCAAACTAGGGCTGGGACGATGCAACTTTTTCCATATCGATACGTATCACGATATTTGATCCACGATACGATATGTACCACTCTATGTTGAATTGGTTATAAAATCGTGTTTTGGATTGAAATGAACAAAACATTTCTTCACAAATAAGAACTATTTATTCAAAGAAGTTGTATATCTGTTTCAAAAACAAAATTATTTTACACAAGTGGTGTTAATCATGTTAGTTATTATGTATTTCATATTTATATTTAGCATATTTATCTTATATATTAAACCCAAAATGTTAAGCAAACAAGGAAAAAACATGTCAGATTTTTTTGGGCGATATTTCGATATTTCTTCATATGTATCGATATGCGTACCATCCTCACCCAGAATCAATATTATCAATATCTCGATATGTCGTCCCAGCCCTACATCTTACTTGAAAGTTTTAAGTCTATTCAGATAGACCTTTACTGCCTAAGTCAAGTTAATGCCATGATCCATGTTTGGGTCATGTAAAAGAATGTACATATACCAGCTTGAATCAGTTTCTATTAAGTGTTACAATGTATAACGTTTTTCACAGTACACGATTTGTGACAGACAATGATTTCAGCCAAACGATATAAGCATGAATGTTGAATTATTTAACAATGTAACACATAGCCATTTGTACAATACTTCAGATATATAACTTTTCCATGTCTCAGCAGCAGCATTCAATAGAGAAAATTATGACAGCTACTTACTAACTCAGTCACTTTATACCTGTACAATTTTTTCTGCGCTGTAAATAATAAACTTGTAAATGGTTCAGCCAGACTTTTCCAATCTGTAAAAGATGAGAGGAAAAAATTGCATATTCGTTTACTTTCGCTTTGCTTGCAGAATTTCAATGTACATGCTTCAAGTACTAATACTAACACATGCATGAGCAAATTCTTCTTTCTATGTAGAAGTATAGGAAAGCTTCTGACTGGAATAGATTCACAGACAGCAGGAGAATGCAAGATCTGCTTGGACATCTGTCAGATACCAAAACAGCTTCCATGTAAACATAACTTCTGTAAAAGATGCATCGATCCTTACATGAAGACGAAACAGAAATGTCCGTTTTGTGAGAAGGTGTACGGGAAGATTTATGGAGACCAACCAAAAGGACGAATCATGTTCCAAAGAGAAAAGAGAAGCCTCCCTGGATACGAAGGACATGGAACAATTATCGTCTCCTATATCATTGATGCTGAAAAGCAAGGGGTGTGTTGAATTTACCATAATTGTTTTCCTTCAAAAAACATTAAAACTTTTATAATGGGAAATGCTTAGTTCTTACTTTCTATATGTATCTTTGACACAGAGAGAACACCCACATCCTGGACGTCAGCTCGCTGGCAGATTAGAAAGGAGCGCATTTTTACCAGATAATAAGGATGGTCGTCTGATTGCCAAGCTTTTAAACATTGCTTTTAGCAGACGGCTTATTTTCACCGTTGATAAGTCACAGACGACAGGCGAGGAAGACGCTTTAGTGTGGAATGACATACACCACAAGACCCGCCGTGACGGTGGACCCGAAGAGTAAATTTTTTTAATGCTTCAGATACTCTGAAATTAGAATGTGAAGCTTTTATCTAAATGGGCTTAGATTTATTTAGCAGTTATTGTAGAAGTATGCAGTAAAGAAAATGTTGGTCTTTCGTTTGATTTTAGGCATGGTTACCCTGATGGCTCTTACCTTAAGAGAGTGTTTGAAGAACTCCAAATTAAGGGCGTGACACAAGAATCTGCGGACGACACCAGCGAATTTAAAGAATATTCAGCAGTGTTCCAGTCGCACTGAAAATCAAATATCCAGTAGTTATTGCTCGAACAGATTCAAACAGAATGTAGTTTTTCATTTAGTGAATGTCTTCCCAGTACTTAGTTAAAGGAAAAGTTAGATCATGTTAAGTAAATTTCTAGTTATTGAAAGACTAATTGTTTTAAATTGCTAAAAATCTAGCTTACAGAGTACTTAAAATATAACCGCTTTTTCATTGCTTAATATATATAAAGTTCTGCGCTAATCAAATATTTTCTCTCTTTTTCGTTTTTTTTTTTGTGTCTCAAAACTGGCAATTAAAGATCTAACGTGAATGTGAACATGAAAAAAATTAACGGTTAAGTGAAGTACTTATTAAATATTTAGTGATTGCTGGTTGTATTAAAGTTTTGACCATGTTCTTAATTGTGTATGTATGTGTTTCAAATTTTATTCATTTGGATGTGATGATATTTGGGCTTTAATTCTCCATAGTTTGCTCATAAGTGTTACCGAAGAATTTTAAAAATCTTAGTAACAGTCACAATTTTTTTAATTCTCAGTTTAGATATATTAAGTTTACCAAAAGGGGGTCTAATCTACCCATCTTTAGGTCCAGCTGTCAGAGTGCCCAGTAGTCCATTATCCAACATAAAGCATTTTATATCATGACACATGTATAATCTTATCATTACTTCACATAAAGCATTCCAAAGTCTTAATTGAAACATTTGATAAATTTATTGGACATAGGCAACGGGGTGGGTATAAGTGCAAGTGGAATATTGATTACCAACCTGGGTATTTTAGAATGATACAGATCCAGTTTGATTCATTTCTAATCTGATTCAATCTTTCAAAAACCTGTAGACTTAATTCTTCATGTACAAACAACACAATGTCAAAAAAATTAACCTATTCAAAAGTTTTATTTTGTCTTACTTTTGCGAACTTGATTGTCTGGTCGCAAATAACAATAAGTTTTGTATTTGGTTTTTGTGTTGTACTTTAACCACTATATCCGTGGATTTATTTGTACTTACTCATTAATATACAGATATACCCGGTTGTATTGGTTTGATGATGGTTTTTAATCTAAACGGATGTTTTGTTTTTGTTTTTTATTAATTTTGGTCACTGCCATATATCATGCTTGCTCAATAAGGAATAAGGTTAATTTGTATTCCGATCCAAGCACTGGAGAACAGGTCAATTTATGTTTTTATGTTCAATTCTGTTTTTTTTAAACTTATTTTTTGTGAATTTTTTTTTTTTTTTTTTTTTTTTTTTGAAAAGCAATATTTGTTACATATATTTATAGTCCCTCAAATTACTCCACATTTTTTATTTTGTCTATAATTTGCTTTTAAAAAGAATATAAGAAAATTAATCTGGATTTTATGAAATTACACTTTTTATATCACAAATTTTATTATTTTGCTTGGTTGTGCCGCTTGGGTTTAAAAAATATATACATAGCGTGCCAAAAGTGTTTGACTTTTTTATCCAATTGTATCAGAAAAATCGGTGATAAATGCATTATTGCAAATACATGTATTTCTGTAAAGAGAGCACGACGAAATCCGTACATTGTATTTAGCTTATACTTGCCTAGCTGCAGATCTGTAGCTCGCTGGTTGGAAAAATTGGGACGGGCGACAGGAGTGCTACAGAGCAACCAATTGAAAAGGTGTAAATTTATTGCGCTCAAGAATGCGCTGTTTCTCGATTTATTTCTCAGTATAATTCAAAATATTATGTTCCTGACATTTTCTTTTACTACTTCCACAACAAAACTGATTGTACGAGTCATGCCCGAAGTCATGGACCGAATTGTCTTCCTACCCAAAATTCAGTTTAAATAGCCGATATTTTTGAATATTGTGTAAATATACACTTTTTTTAATGGGTGGCACTGTAGCTCTCTGTCAAGTTTTGCAGCTCTCTGTCAAGTTATTGCAAAATATTGGGTAATTGGCCTTGGATTTTTAAGGAAGGCAATTGTCCGTATCACATGTCGGTGTTTGCTTAAATATGTGCATGCGCACAAGCTGTCCTATTCATAGAAAGATGGCATCACAAATTGTTAGTTTGTAAAACAAAATGTTTACTGACTGAATAGGTGGCAATATATAATTTCGCCCTCAGCCAAAAATAAGTCTCTCAGCCTCCGGGTTTGGGTGTCATTTTTCTCCCCACTCACCCTATCCTCTCCACGCCGTCTGTTGCTTGAGGCGACTGCAAGGGATCTCCATCTGGCTCTGTCTGCAACTTCTCAGTGCTTTCTCCATGGTCAGACCTCTGATCTTCAGGTCTTTGAGAACGGTTCGCCTCAAGGTCTCCTTTGGCCGACTTCTGTTCCTTTTCCTTTGTGGTGTCCATCGAAGACCAATTCTGGGCAGTGAGGCATGCCGCATGTGTAGAACGTGACTTTGCCATCTCCAGCGTTTTGTTTTGTTTGTGTCTTGCTTGGTTTGTGATATTGTTGGCATGTCGGTTCTATTCAACAGTTCTTGTTTAGAGATGGTGTTAGGCCAGAAGATCTTAAATGGGTGTCGAAGAGATTTGGTTTGGAAGACTTCGAGTTTCCTTTAAATGGCCAAAGAGGTCCATCAGAACTCTGATCCATACAAGAGACAATGAGGACATTGCTGTTGAAGATCCTGATCTTGGTATGTATGTTAAGTCCTGTGAATCTCCATAAGGGCTTCAACATTGCAAAAGCTTGGTTTACCTAAAATTGCTGATCCTGGTGTAAGTTTCCTTGTCGCAGTCTCCCGTTGCGGTGACTGCTTCCCAGGTATGTGAATTTCTTCAATGTCCATAAGGTCAGGATCTAGTGAATGAAAGGCGCCCACAGATTTCTCAAATTTGAGATACACATTCTTTTAATGATTCTTTACGAATATATCTTGGTAAAATAAGGTGTATCCGGACATAATTTGGGGTAAACTCATCGGAAAAACATATTATAAACTGCCCATTTTCAATGAAAAATGAAGAAAGTCTGGTATAAATATGGGAGTTTTTTTCCATCTCAGACAAAGGAAATGTATCAATATTGCCTACAGTCTCTTAGAAAACGGTTTTTCATATCTTCTCGATCTCTACTTTAAAATGATATTAAACGGAATAAGGGTTTCGGAGTTATATTTGACATGATTTCAAATTGAATTCCATGAAAGTGCTTTATTTTCTACATAATTCTATTGAAGCCGTAAAGTACGGGAAAAATTAAGTTTAAATCAATTATGACATCATAATTAATCTAGCACCAAGAAGAAAGTCTAAACTCATTTACTAGATCTTGACCTTAAGTGGTTTACTGTTGATCATTAATAGGTTGCTGTTGTTAGTTGTGTTCACTCGTAAGACCTGTGTCTTTTTTCATGTTGTCCTGATTGTGCTCGCTGTGACACTGAGATGCTCTGTCTTCTGCTGGATATTTTGGTGTCTGTTAGATAGGAGGCCACGGTCATCAGCATAATCCATGTCCTGTAGGACTGAGGACAGTGTCCACTGTAATCCTTGTCTTCTACTTTGTGCGATGTTCCTCATCTTTGTGCGAGGGAGAATAGCACGGACTATAGAATACATCCATGCTTCACTCCACAAAGGACTCTGTTGAGCTGGTTGTTATGTATTACTTGTCACTCGAAGTTCTCATAGAGGGACTTGATGATACGAATCAGTTTCTGGGGCATGCCTTAGTGACGCAGGACATACACCATCCTCTCTTGGGGCTTTACCATTCTTCAGTTTGTGGACTTGTCACTTAACTCAGTGTGATGCTACCCATTTCTATTTCGAGGTCTTTTTTCTGGATCATCAATGTCGGGAAGTATCAATGGATCTGGTTGATTCAGAATCTTGTAAAATGCTCTCCTTATCTCTCCAATTTTGCCATTTCCCCTATAATTACTTAACTGTCTTCTCCTTTCACAGTGAGGTCTTGGTTTGGACTCGTGATGACCTCTTAGTTTCTTTGTGATTTGGTAAACGGTTTTATGTTTTTCCGTTCAGCGGCTACTGTATCTGCGCTTCTTCAGCAAGTTACTCCTTGTAGCGGTGCTTATCTCTCCTCGCTGATTTCTTCACTTTCCTTCTCTTTCTCTCTGTATAAAGTGGCTTACCTTTCTTTCACTCTTGGTGACTTAGTATCTGGGAGGGTTTTTTCTTTAGTTGTTTCCTCACTTGTATGATGGACCACGTGTCTTTGGATATCCAGTCTGTTTTGGCACACATTTGTAGCATAAGACTTCTGTATCAGTATCATTCAAGGCCTGGTTGAATTGATCGATAGTAATTGCTGTCTCGTCTAGGAGTGTGTTGTATCTGTTCCTGAGCGTGATGTTGAATTCTTCTCTATCACTCTTCTTCTCTTGTGGTTACTCTGCCCAACCCTTGCAATGAAATCTCCGATCAGTAGTGTAACAAAATGCCTTGTCATGAAGAACTGCCTGTAGAGGGCTGTAGAAGTTATCTTTTGCTTTTTTCTTCTGCTGCTTCAATTGGTGCTTATAGCACTCGCAATGGAGATCTTCGTGTACCTGGAGTTGAGTCTGACATGCATACAGTAGACGTTTGCTTACAGTGCACTGAAGGACGGTATTGGCAAACTTCTGGTCAGGCCCGGATCCAGGAATTTTTTTCCAAAACAGAAATTTCTTGACAAGCAAAAAAAAAAAAAACATTTCGAAACGTTAAAAAAAACCTATTTCATGGTGGTGATGATGGTCGGTGTCGGGGTCTACGTTTTCTCCGCGGGGGGGGGGGGGGGGGGGGGGGGGGTCCAAAGTCATTTTTTATTTACTTCAGAATGTACATTTAATAACTGCAAATTCCAGGGGGAGTCCGCCCCCCCCATCCCCCATTCTAGATCCGCGCATGCTGGTTGATAAGAACGCTACTCCCTCATGGTGGTTGTTATTACTTCGCCATGGCCATATATATTGACATCCCCTGAGCTCAGTCTCTGTTTTCCTATTCCTGCATGTTTACCTGAATCGCTCATGGCCTGCAGGGATAAATTGTATCAGTTCATCTAATTTACTGGTTGTGCTAGTCTTCCGGTTTGATAAAGCGTTCGGACATTCCAGCATCGAATTCGGATGTGATTTTTCATTTGCCAGATATCATGCTGTTAACCGTCGTAATTCCAGATGAATGGCCTGTTTTACTCCATCTATCAGTTGAATTGTTGTTCCTTGTTTCCTACCAGGTTGGGTTAAACGGGTAGGGTTGCTGGCCCTACCCCCAAACGTCTTCCTTTCTCAGCCTGGCATGGGACTGTCAGTGGTGGAATTTATTTTTCCCTCATGTCCAATACTAATAAATCCTATTTTGCCCCTCATACTTCTCAATCATATGAATCCTTGGCATTATTGTGATAGAGTATAATGAGGGTAGTAGCGGGAGGAT